ATGGCTTAAGCTCAAACAAACGTCATAGATTAGTAGACTGGATTAAAAAAACAAAACCCATCTGTGTCCTACTGGAGTTACTTTTCACCAACAAAAATCAGCAGAAATTATATCTCATGGATTTTTTTTTCCAGTTTCATCTCTTCAAAACACGTTCTTCTGATTAAATTCTTCAATGACTCATAGATCATACAGTAGTATCATTTTCTTCAAGAAGGTTCTTGACTTTCTTTTTCATTTCTTCAGTGACATGTTAGTCATTTAGTAGCATAATACTTAACTTCATGGTGTTGTTAATTTCTTTTTTCTCCCTGATGTTGAGTTTGTTTTGTGGCTTTGCATTTAAGGTGATGTATAGCAGCTGTGTAATGGAGACTCTCATATCTAGCAACATGTTATTTAACTTCATGGCATTGTAAATTATTTTTGTTACTATTATTGATTTTGCATTGTGACTTTTCATTTAAGGGGATGTACAGTAACTGTGAAATGGAGACTAACATATCCAGATGTGAGGATACAATGCAGTACGCATCTCTCCTTGCAGTCTAAAGATGGAATCCCAATGAAACTGTTTACCATATGACAATAGGATGCTGGACTCTCTGCTATTGTCCATGCCCAAAATAATGGACATATGACTGTGTATGAAGAACTATACTTTAGTAATGATAGAGAGGAATTTGGTGGGTGGGTGGGGGGATTGGGGAGTGGATAAGGGAAATCCCAGGGGTCTATGGAACTGTATCATAAAATAATAATAATAAATAAATAAGATTTTAAATTTAAAAATAAGCAAATCTTTTAATATTTTATCTGCTTATAAGTGGAAAAATGTTGCATTCTTCACTCTATAATTAGATCAGAGAAGAGATTTAAAACATCAGTTTTGAAGCTCACTGTTTCACATCTGCTTCACCTTGGAGTCATGTAAAAAGAGATGATGTTAAATTACAGTGATGCAATCAGGAGGACATGAAGAGTAGGTAGATTGCACGCTGCTTTCATCTGGCTATCACTCACTTCTAATAATTAATATTATTATAAAATCTCACTATAAAGGACTATAATCTTCAACAGAAGAAATCTTTGACCTATCCTGTATATTTTCTTGTATGTAAGTTCAAACATCCAACTAGTAAATCACATCCTGTATATTCCAAAAATTAAGTACAAATTCACCACTACATAAGTTGATCATGCAAGAATGAGATATTCCACACTGCTTTTTTATCACATGCCACGGAAAATGCATTAAACATTGACAAAACATGGAGAGTCTATATGCAGGCAATATGCTAGACAGATTTTCGGCTAGTGTTTAAGTTTCTCCTCATGAAATGAACCAAAATCTTAATGTTAAAGACACAAATAATACACGTTTAATATCTAACACTAATTTAACAAAAAGCTCATCAAACTATATGACATAAAGAAGTTAGATGAGAGAGAACTGGTTATATAAGCTGGTTTGTCAGTTATTGATTAAAAATCAAGTAACAAAAAAAAGAAAATTTAACTTTGTATTCTTTATGGACTCTCACATTTTAATGAATACTTAAGATTTGTGAGGCCCTGTCCTTAGGGCATTTAGAAATCATATCATTTATATTTAGAACTAATGAGGCTCACACCATATTATTATTCCCATTTTACAGATGGGAAAGAAAGAATCTTATGGAAATAAAAGAAAATTTAACCTGACTAGGGAGACCTTTTTTTTTTGTGAAAGTTCTTTGAATTCACTGACAATCGGCAAGTAGCAATCATGTCTTCCAGGTCACCAGGGTTCAAAAATTCCATTGCCGAAACACCAGTTTCAAATATCACAAACCTTTACATAAGCATTATCTAACACAAAAAAATAGTTCACTAAGGGCATTTTAGCCTAGCACTTTAGTTCCCCAAAGATCCAGCTGAAAAGGCAAATAGGCCCTTGAACTTTATCAAGATAAATCCCTGGCACCCACTTATCGCCAGAGAGGATCTTCAAATTAGATAACAGCAAGAATGTTGGCATGAGGCGCACAAACACCTTCCTCTTCCCAGAGGCCCACCGCCTGGCAGCCTTTCAGCAGGGCTTCACTCAGGGAGCTGTTACTCTAAACTTTCCAGTGATTGCTTGCAAGTTGATAATTCTTAAGATATGAGGAGAGTTGTGATTTCTGACACAGCATTCCTGAGATAAATACAGGATCAGAGGGAGGCTTTGAAATTCCCAAAGATATTCCATAGGTCCATGGCTCCGTGAAAGGTTTCAAAAGGTGCCTCTTGCTAAACGTGGAGGGAAACAGAGCCCTTTGCTTGCCATCTGATAATATGTTAAATGCTTACCAGACATCTTAAGTTGCACAGAACATTCCAGAAAACACTATCACTAAAATAACCCTTTGTGTTTTTCTTCAACAAGCCCTCTCTAAACTTTCTAAACCTGGTTTCCTAAAAAAGTCCATAATCTAGCCACTTAAACAAGACCTCAGTAAGTATTGATTGATTACTACTTAAAAATAAATGCCAGACATAAAAAATTTCGTCGTTCAAAAAGAAAACCAATGCATTTGACTATATGAATAATATGTAAATTTTAAAATGTAACCTTACTGTTACTACAGTTCTAGAACTCTAGCATTACACATTTAAACAAATTATAAAAACAAATTATTCAAAAACCAATGATCACTGCTAAGTCTTGCCACTGATATAGCCGTTGTCCCCAGCTGTCGGCAACTGTGCAGGTTGCCTTGTACCGAGCAAGTGCTCCACTACTGGGAGAAAATCAACGAATAGCTGGTTGGCAATCCCACCTTGGTTAAGGCGAAATTCGCATTAACTATGGCAGTGGGTCATCATAACTGTCTTTTTTTGAATGTGTGGGTATGTGGAGAAGGAGGAGACCACCAGGCCAGGAATACCATCCCAGCCCCCAGGCTGGGGCACTGGAGATCGCCCAGGGAAACTGATCTGGGGACGTACCAGAGTTGGAGCAGCTGATGGCATGTCTGACGGGGGGTGGGGGGATGAGTTTGGGGTCTTCCATGATCCCCGCCACTGCATTCGCAGGCAGCGAAGAAGCTGAGACAGAATGGTTCAGAGGGGATTAGCCGGCGGGCATGTCTGGGTCAGGCAAAAAGGTACCCACCCAGCCCAAATGTGAAACCTGGCCTGGACTGAACAGCATCAGCTACGGCCTGCTGGCAAACTGCAAAAGCTGGGGCTCACAGGCCTGGCTGGAATAGGACGCAACACCCGCTGGCACACATGAGAACCCAAGGATAAGCTATGGGCCGTGCCCAGCTGGGCAAGGTTGCAACACTCACCAACAAGAGCAGAGACTGAGGGTGTGCCATGCCAGACAGGGTTGAAGCATCTATCAGTACACACATAACACAGGGCTAGGAACAGACCTGATACGGGAACTCTGGGGACTCCCCTGCTAGGCAACAGATCCCACCAGTGAGTGCAAGAAACAGAGGTGGGGGACACACCTTTCTGGGCAAAGATGTAGCACCCCAGGCATGCTTGTGGGTCAGGGGGTTAACCAGACAATAACCAGCCTTACCCACTGGCATTCACGAAAGCCAGAATGGGTGGGGACAGGCCAGGCTAGACCTCAGTACCCACCAGTACACATGAAAACCAAGTCTAGGGGTGGGCCAGTCTGGGCTAGGCTGTAACACCCACCAGTGAGAACCAGAATGGGTATGAGCCAGCAGAGCTAGGCAGCAGCACCTACCGGCAAGTGCCAGAACTGAGTACCAATGATGTCAGGCTGAACAACAGTACTCTCTGGCAGGTGCAGGAACTGGGGCCAGGAGCAGGTCTGGTGGGGGAATTGTGGATGGATACTCCCCCGCCGAACTTCAGCTCCACTGGTGACCATCAAAGAAACTTAGAAAAATATCATTTCAATGTGTGATGAGAGTAAACATCCTCAGAAGTGAGAAAAACCTTCCTGCCATGTGATAGGGCACAAGTAGCAGAAACAACATCACTTCTGGGATACTCCTGCCAAAGTCACATTAACCTAAAAACATTAACTCTGATCCTCAGGAAACATTACAAAAATATAACCCAGAGATCATTAAATAAGTAAATAAATAAATAACTGTGCTCAATTTCCAAAGTGTCAAAATCACTAAATTCAAGAAAAAATTGAGAAACTCTTCTTCTAGATTCAAAGAAATCAAGACACATACAGCAAAATGCAAACACATAATCCTAAACCGGTTCTTTGTACAATAAGGAATATGGTGAAGCAATTAGTAAACACTGGATGGTATCTGAACATTAAAAGGTAAGGATTGCGTTATATTAATTCATTATTTCAACAAATATAGTTTTATAGGAAATATGAAGTATTAGAATAGTATTATATAATGTGAAATTGCTTATTTCAATGACTGAACTATATTCTATATATAATATATAAGAGTATTCAAAGGTGACAGATTTTCATATTAGCCACTGTTTTTAAATGTCTGATGAACAATAACTGGGCTAGAAGTTCCATGAATGAAAACTTCTTTCAAGATAAAAATATTGATTTTTGAGAGAATACGTTTAGTCATTCTAATATGTGCCCTATAGGTAGATTTTCAGGGGAAAAAAGTAACAATAGTTAGCAAACGGCTTTCTAGGGCAGCAGAAATAGCAATAAGGCTTTCCCCAAACACCAGACTCTGAACACCCTGTAAACTCTCACATCCACAGGCCAAAAAGGAGGGAAGCCATCTGACAGAGCAAGCGTGTCCCAACCATTACAATGGCAATAAAAAATTTACTCAACCGCACAACTCATCAACATAATCATGACTTTAAAAACTTATTGGTGCACTAATAAATGAAGACCAGGAAGTGAAAATAACAATTTTTATAAGTTGGTCAAAGTACCCTTTCCCACTACTGAAGCAAACTAGCATTACCAGAGTCAAACTGAACTCCTGATTATGCTTTCTCTTTCAAAGGTATGAAAAGAAACAGGTGAAAACAAGACTCGGTACCTGTCAAAAGATCGGAACTCCACAGACTGCTCCATGGACAGATCGCCCAGGGCTCCCAGGCAGGCTGGCGGCAGGAGGGCAGGCTCCCCTGGGACCCCGTCTGCCGGCGTGTTTACCAAGCTCCGCAGAATGTCCTTCACGTTGACATTTTTTGAAACTGGGACTGGTGGTGTAACCTTGTTCTCCAACTCATTTCCTCCATCACTTCTGGCTTCCTGAGATTTATTGACTTCCAGAGAGAGAGTGCACAGCACCTCACTGATTGCATCGGGACCTGTGCTGACACTCGGAGGTGCTGCCTGAGGAGTCACATTCACGTGGCTGCCTGCACCCGCCGAGGCTTCCTCCCCGAGGCCCGAGGCCCTCTGAGCAGAGGATGGACCTTCAGATTCTTCCACTGACGCTGCTGTGGAAGGGCTAAATGATGTTGGGGTGTTTTCCGCATCTTACCGAGAGAGAGAAGAAAAGAACAACAAAATGTATTCACAACTAATTTAAGAAAGTGTAGTTAGCCATAACAATAATCCATTAAATTTTGAAACGTTGTTATCATGTTATAAAAAGCAAAAGCTAATTACATAATCATCAAAATATACTGGGTGATTGTACCTAAAATCAAACTAGAAAGTATGATAAAAATATATAGAATTATATTAGCTACAAACGAATTCTAACAAACAATGGACAACACTAGGCAAAGCTCAAAGTCACCGGCTTATAAGAAAGACCCTAAGATGCTTATAATAAAAAACTTCTTAAAAAAGATTTATTTATTTTTATTGGAAAGGCAGATATAGGGAGAGGAGAGACAGAGAGGAAAATTTTCCATCTGCTGGTTCACTCCCCAAGCGGAACCAATGGCTGGAGCTGAGCCAATCCGAAGCCAGGAGCCAGGGGCTTCTTCTGGGTCTCCCACATGGGTATAGGGAACCAAGGCTTTGGGCCATCCTCACCTGCTTTACCAGGCCACAAGCAGGGAGCTGGATGGGAAGCAGGGATGCTGGGATTAGAACCAGTGCCCATAGGGGATCCTGGCACGTTCAAGGGGAGAACTTTAACCATCATGCTATCACGCCGGGCCCCCCCTTAAAAAAAAAACTTCTAATGTAAACATGTTTTCTACTGTTGAAAACCAATTACCCTCTATAAGCATAATTAAAACAATACTTAAAATCTACTTCAACACAGCATATCCTTTCTTCTATATTTAACTTTTATTCTCTTCAATTGGGTTTTCAAGGCATTCCAACAAAAACACACTCACTGGGGCCCATACTATGGTATAGCAAGTAAATCTTCTGTCTGCAGAGCCAGCATCCTATATGGACACCGGTTCAAGTTCCAGCTTCATGTTAAAGCACTTGGGAAAACAGTGGAAGCTGGGCCAGCTGGGCCCCTGCATCCACATGGGAGACCCAGAAGAAGCTCCCAGTTTCTGGCCTCCAACTGGCCCAGCCCCAACCATTACAGCCATTTGGGGAGTGAACCAGTGGGTAGAAACCTCTTTCTCTTTTTGAAACTCTGCCTTTTAAATAATTAAATGAGTAAATCTTTTATGAAAATTCAATTACTGCAGCAAGAATTTGACGCAGCAATGAAAATGCCATTTGGGTCACCTGCTCCCTGTGGTGGAATGTCTAAGTTCCAGGCTCAGCTCTACTCCCACATGCTAGCGTGCATCCTGGGAGGCAACAGTGAAGCCTCTGGCGCTTGGACTCCAGTCACCCTGTGGGAAAGGTGGGGTGAGCTCCTAGCTTGGGCCCCAGTCACCCTGTGGGAAACGTGGGGTGAGCTCCTAGCTTGGGCCCCAGTCACCCTGTGGGAAAGGGGGGGTGAGCTCCTAGCTTGGGCCCCAGTCACCCTGTGGGAAAGGTGGGGTGAGCTCCTAGCTGCAGGCTTCAGTCAGGCCCAGCCCCAGCTGTTGTGAAAGTGTCTGCATGAATCGCTGTATGGCTTTCAAATACTTAGGCCATCCAATACCTGTGCCTGAGGCAGCAGCTGCTAAGTAGGCCCTCTCACCTCAAGACACTTGCTCAACTTGGCTTGTGGGACACAAGCCTCTCGTCAGCTATCCTTCTGCTACCTCACTGGCTGCTCCTCCTTAATGTCCTGTACTTCCCAGTTCTCCCACCGTGGTTAAGTTTGTTTTTTTTTTTTTAAGATTTTATTTTTATCACAAAGTCAGATGTACAGAGAGGAGGAGAGATGCAGAGAGGAAGATCTTCATCAGATGATTCACTCCCCAGGTGACTGCAAAGGTGGGTGCTGAGCCATCCGAAGCCAGGAGCCAAGAACCTCCTCCAGGTCTCCCACGCGAGTACAGGGTCCCAAGGCTCTGGGTCTTCCTCCACCGCATTCCCAGGCCACAAGCAGGGAGCTAGATGGGAAGTGGAGCTGCCGGGATTAGAACCGGCACTCGCATGGGATGCCGGCGCATCCAAGGTGAGGACTTTAGCCACTAGGCCACTGCGCCGGGCCCCAATTTGGTTAAGTTTTAAGGCCTCAGCCTTCAATTCTTACCTGATTGTCTCCATTTACCTTTATTCCCTTACTGACTTAGTTCCCTCTCAAAGCTTTAACTAACATTTAATTCCCCGCCCCCTCCCAAATCAGCCTAACTGGGCTACATCTGTTACAGATTCCAAGACATCCAAACATCTAAACGGATTTTTTTTATCATTTTATCTTTGCTTAAAAATTAGTTTCACCTTTAGTTATTGGACAACATAATAATTCTTGACTCCCATTTTTCTTTCCAATAACCCAAACCTAATCCTTAAGATAGTTAAAAGTCATGCTTTCATTATTACTCAAATACATCCAACATCCTGCTACCTCATCTCGAAGCTGCCTCCTTGTCCATGCCAACACCACCTCCTGCCTGGATTGCAGCAATATTCTCTCAACTGGCTGGGGAAAATGTTAACTTTAATCATCCACCTTTTGCCCCATGCCTGCCTCCTGGTCATTCATCTCCTTGAGACAGTTCTTAAAACTAGACTAGACTAGGCTTAATGTACGTAAACCAATAGAGGTGGAAGAAAGAAACACTGCGCCAGTGCCAGGCCCAGGTTTAACATCTCAACAGCTTTAGTTAGCATTCCTAGAATGCCTGAACAACTCTGAAGGGAATATAGCTGATTCCTGCTATCCTTGCTAGGAAATAAAGAGAGAACATATGTAAACAAAGAGGGCCTCCAACCTCATCGAGGGAAACAGGAATCCAATCGAGAGTAAGTCTCAAGGCCCCAGACATATAATCCCAGCTCAACTGTTTCAGCCAGTTCCAACTCATGGAGCCAATCCAGCTGAGGCACTGGAAGAGTCAGTACAGGTGCTACCTTGGACTTTCAAGAATCAGAACACATTCTCTACAATAGGGATGAGCCATCCCCTGCACCCCATTCCAAGCCAACTGGCCAAATTATAAACACAGGACTCGTGGAGCAGTGGTACGAAGTCAGCAAGCTTCAGAGCAATGCATCACGCTGTACACAGCAAAGACGGTGGCTCCTCCTCCAGGGCACTTCCTCCACACAGAATCCAGACTGTCACGGAGATGCATGCCATGCTTGGGACTCCTGGACTCAACCCCCACCCCACCTCCAGGATTTGTCATTTCACAAAATCCCATCTCTCCTAATCATTCCCAACATTTTTATCCTGTTCAAGCCTTTCCTTTTCTTACCACTTGGATCAGCTTTAAAACACCAAACTATTTATTTATTACAGATATTTATTCCCCACCCCTTCCCACTAGACTATCAGTTCTATGGGTGCAAAGACGTTTTTCTGCTCTGTTCTGGAATATACTCAAGTACCCAACAGGTAATACAGATCTGCCAAGTAAATGAACAACCCCCTCTGGATGACAGTTACAGAAACAGCTACAGTAACTGCTTATCTAGCAATACTGTAATTGAAAGCTACTGCTAAACTCCAAACTACTTCAGTTCTATGTTAATAAGTTTGTCTCTCCTAAAAGAATATGCATCGGTTATTCTTCAAAAACAAATGTTAAATCAAAATTTTCTACTCATTATTTGCACAGGATAAGAGTTGCTCATTTACTGCTTAATTTGGTGGTTTAAAAAAAAAAAAGACCCAAACTGCAGTTTTAATTAATTAGATAATAAAAATGTATGCTTTCACCTTACACTTGCATAGATTTAAATTCCAGAATAAATTTTCAGCTGTAAGTAGGTTACACTGTGCACAAATTCTGGGTTCCAGGGAGTAAAACATGGAAACTTACCAGGGAGAGACAGACTCTCATTCTCACTTCCAGTCTCCTTACATGACTGGCCCCGCCTTTCATCCTGAGGTTCCAGAATGTCTCTGTACTTGGAGACCATGAGAACAGAGATGAAGTACACAACCGCCAGAGCTAAGAACTGGGCCTGTTTGCTATCCTCCTAGGAAAAAACAAAAGGATTGGTCATGTCACTATTAAATCACAATTTTTAACTTTATTTAACACTACAATTTCTAAATATAAAAGATGCCCACAAATCATTTAATATAAACAGAACTTAATGCATGATTATTCATCATGTTATCAAGTTATAAGTCTATTAGTACTCGTAAATTCACCTAGCACAGATTAAAAATGAAAAGGGAGAAACTGGCATTTGTTTTTTAAGATTTATTTATTTCTATGTGAAAGTTGGATTTACAGAGAAGAGAGAGATTTTTCCTTCCCTAGTTCAATCCTCAAATGGTCATTAAGCCAGAGCTGTGCCAGTCGGAACCAGGAGCTTCTTCTGGGTCTCCTATGTGGGTGCAGGGGCCAAAGGCCCTAGGCCATCCTCCACAGCCTTTCCAGGCTATCAGCAGCCAGCTGGATCAGAAGTGGAGCAGCCAAGACTAGAACCAATACCCATTTTCCCTTTCTTATGAATTATCACACTTTCCTATCATAACACCATTCCTTTGCCACATGTTTCTGCCAAATATTATAACCACTGCTATTGATATTCATATTAAAAATGCAAGCAAATAATTTGCTTGGTTTTAATTTCTTAATATGCTATGGATTACTAATGCTTATCTAAATATTTACGTAATCCATTAATGTATTCAGTGTTTACTAACTACCATATGAAGTTCACAGTGGCTTCTGACTTGGCTTCTGACTCCACATAAAAAATCTCTCATAGATGTGCACATTAAAATCTCAACTCCTCAAACAGAATTGTTTTCATTAGTAATCTACCATTTACTGAACAACCATTGTGAATTAAACACTGGGCTCTACAATTGACATATATTCACAAGTTTGAGCAAGATATGGTTTAGAGAAGCTTTATGACTTATCTAAGGGCTTACAGAATGTGACAAAGCAAATCTGAACTCAGAGAAATTAAAAATATTATCTGCAAACTTCAGGACAATCATTTCTTTATATCCTTAGTCTTTAGTCATTTCCTTTTCCTTTTCTTTCTTTTTAAGAAAAAAGAACTTTATCTTAGTAGGAATATAGGCAGTATCTATAACAATAGAAGCCATCTGTTTTTTCTATCAAGGTTCCATACGCTGGAAGATACTGTTTATTTAAACATGCTTGCATACTGGGTTTGAATTTGATCACTGACTAGTGCTGTTGACTTGAACAAGTTACTCAAGCTCTCTGTGCCTCATACTCCTCATCTTATCAGACGGCAATTCAAAAAGCACACGACTTCAGAAAGCTTTGGACTTCAGGAATGTATCAAGAGCATGTACAGTGTTTCCTGCATAACATGCATCATTACTTTCAGCAACACCACGCTGATAAACTAGCCCCACTGATACAGAGAATCTTTTCCAATATTCTACAATTCTAAATTCACTGGCAAGAACACTGTTTTCTTGGCCCTCTGTAACTTCTGGACCGATCTATATCACAACATGCTTATACTCTCCATACTTTGGGGCAGGGAGGAAATACATATCAGCTAAGAGAAAACTTGGAATACCACGACTTACGATGTCTCTGAAAACAACTGCCCTAAGTCGATTAATATCCATGTCTTGTAGCAGCCTGCCAAGATCTCTTACTGGAGATATCCCACCAGCCACAACGTCCACTGGACTCTATTGAAGACAAAAGGCACATACATACACATCACACCAACACAGTTTTTCTTTTACATCAATGCATTTTAAAAAGTAAACACAGCATTCTAAGGACGAGAGAAGCCTGCAAATATTCCTTTTTCTCAGTTGTTTCCCACACATCTTCTTTTGTAAGGGGAAATGGAGGAGTAGACTGGGAGTCATACTGAAAAAATCGACATCTCTGAAGAAAACGGTATCACAGAAACAAGTAAAGTAAACATTTAGAAAAGTAGACAAGATTAAGTACAAGCAAATCTTCACTGTGTATTTAAATACAAATATTTGAATGTTAGGACCACAGCCTAAAATAAGTATTTTAAGCTCTCTGTCAGATTTACTTAACTTCATGTTGAAGTGAAGAAACTAGTTCAAGGGCTTAACTGTAAAATGTGAGCACGTTTCTTCAAATGAATTATTCAGGATGCTTACCTTCGCTGCAGATTTTCCCACTGGAATCAGACCGTGCAATGTTTTCAGGACTTTCGCTGGATCTCCCCTAGATTTCAACTGTGAGTGCTGCTGACATTCTAAGCAGTTTCTCACGGCTACTGCACAGACTATAATTCATTTTAATTAAGATCGGGAAAGAAAACAAAGTTATGCTTAAGATTATGGAACTGATAAAAAAAATCACCTATATCTTTTATGTAACATTTCATTTAAAAGAGACTACCTTCAGCCAATTCCTAAAATGTGTCTAGACTTTGTAATGTCGTGTTTGCTGCCTGCTCTTGATAGCTTCCTTACTGTAGGCCCAGTTATGATATATGGAGGCAGTACAACCTAGTGGTCTATACTGTTAGGATCCACTAACACATAATCTGTTCTGGAATCGCAGACCAAATTAACTAGAACATTCTTATATTAAGAAAAAAAAGAATCAAAAGGACAGTGGAAGAACCACGCAGGACAATATTCTTTGATTACTTTCATTAAAATAAGATAATTAAGCTGCAAACTTAGTTATTAGATCATGCTATTAATAAACACAGAAGGCACAGCATTCCCTGGGAGTTCTACATAGTCTAGCTTCTACTGGCTTTTATTAAAACTGTGTAGGAGATGCAGGAAAAGGAAAAAGGAATCTCATTCACATACAATACAAAATTACCTCTTTAAAGCATACGTTACTCAGATTATTTAGAAATTAATGCTGATTTTTAAATGATACACTATTTTCCTAGCTTCCTGAATAAAATGAAGCACTGCTAAGATAGCCGTGTACTTTCTATTCTAAAAAGACATTCTCCTTTTGGGAAAGTGGAAAGATTTTCAAAATAGCATATACAGGAGTGGCTGTGTGGCCTAGCAGTTAAGGCACCCGCCTCCCACATCAGAGTGCCGGGTTTGATTCACAGCTGCAGCTCCTCACTCCACCTTCTTGCCAACACAGACACTGGGAAACAGCTGTGACGGCTCAAGCAATCGTGCCCACGGGAGAGATTGGAACTGCATTCCTGCCTACTAATTTCTGCCCCTGCAGAGCCCCGGCCACCGGGGAGTAGACGAGTTATAAGGAAGTGTTTCATTTCTTTCTCTCTAGTTCTTGCTTTCCATCTAGCATACCCTACCCGCAACACCACTCATCCCCCAGGCTCTCCAACTGTGTGTGTGCGTGTGTGTGTGTGTGTGTGTGTGTGTGTGTGTGTGTGTGTGCATTTCTCTCTGGTTCTCAAATAATGTGGCACACACAAAAGCAATATAAAGTCTGAATAATCTAGCTATAATAGTACTGGAAAGTGTAAGAAGTATAACAGGGACAGGAAGGGAACTAGACAAAAATATATTCAAATTCTTCAGCAATTAACTCTCAAATTTTAGATACGTTTCTCAATCTCTAAAATTCTCATGAATAAAAAAGAACAAAATTTTGTATCCAAAATGTCAATAGACAAAAAATGATAGCTTCTATTTTGGTATGCTAAATTGAAGCTTTAACTAAAATTTCAAGAAACTATCTATATATACCAAGCTCCTTAGCATAGCCTAAGTCTGCAAGAATTCTGAATGACATTTTGAGTAAAAGTAACTGCAGAAAAAAGTCTACCACCATATGTAACAGTTTATGCAACATACGTTTGCTAAAATTTAAATATAAAAAATATTGCTTTAACTAAGTTTTTCACTCTTGATGTCTTTTGAGGGGGCTCAAAAAGCTCATGGAACACAAAATTACAAGATACCATGGGGGTGGGAGCTTGGCTCAGCAGTTAAGGAGCTGGCTAGGTTGCCAGCATTCAATATCCAAGTTCCACCTCTGATTCCAGCTTCAAGATTGCAGTTTCAATGTGGGTAGGTCCCTGCCACCCCATGTGGGAGTTCTAGAATGAATTCCTGGGCTCAGGCTTCTAGGGAGTGAAAGAGCAGACAGTTCTGTCTCTATCAAGTTATATATATGTATATAGATATATATTTTTAATTTTTAGAGAAACCAATAAAGAAAATGTGAACATTCCATGAACTTTCTCATAGATGTCTTACTTCTGACCTGTCTTCAGATGGCCTTGGTTTCTAAAGATTTGTTTCTACTTCTTAGGCCATCCATTCCCCACCATCTTCTCTCCATTAAGCAAATCATTTGACAAGGTTTCAGTACTTTCAACTAAATATACAAAATGTTGTGCAAAACAGAATTTATTTTAACATCATTTAAGGAAGTTCAATTAAGAAAAAAAGTCATTTTTGCATATTTTTGTTATTACCTAAGAAAGAACTGCCTCTAATCAGAACACAAATTTCAGCATTTTATAAACTGCTTTAACAGCACCATTAAATAAAGACTGAGCTTGGATACTGCTGAATTAGGACCATGTAACTCTAAATTGTCTCTGAGAGAAGCACCAACATCTCAGGGGATTTGACAGATGACTTTAGGTCTTCTCCTATATCCAATATAATCTATTCTGTATTTTAACAAGACTCTTATGTGATTCTTACTTGTGAATTGCCTTAACAATTGAGGAGCATTACCTTAGAGTAAAATGAGGTTTGGGAACTCAGGGGAAAGAAGAATGCAAACCAGAATAAAGTTCGTACATTGATCAGGTTATATCCTTCTTCCCTACTATCCAATTTGGCCAATTACTATGCATAGTGCATTAAAAACTGGTCACAGGTAGGCACTGCGCCTAGTGGTTAAGATGGCAGTTAGAATGCCTACATCCTACTTAGGAGAGCATGGAAGCAAGCACCAGCTCCCCATTGGCGTCCTGTTTAGATGGATCCTAGGAGGCAGGAGTTAATGGCTCAAGTTTTCAGTCCCTTTCGATCAAGTGAGTAACAGACAGAGTTCCTGGCTCCAAGCATCTGGGGAACAAACCATTGGATGAGACCATTTATATTTCTTTCTGTCTTTCCCACCTCTACTTCCCCCCCACCTCTCTCTTTCTCACCCTCATTCTCTCTCCCTGTAGCTCACTTTCATAAAAAAGAAGAAAAATCTAACCATCTGATAAATGACTATCACATATTTTCTCACCAATGAAAGAAACTTGGATTACTGAAAAAAAAAATCTGACTTACATCCTAACAGGTTTAAAGCACTCACCAAGTCGGAGACATTGCCGTAAAATTCCTCCAGATGACATGTTTTTTTCTGCTTCAATTTCAGTAAAGCCAAGAGAACTTGCAAATATAAGCACATCCACCAGGCTAATAAGCCTCTGCAAAAATGTCACTGAGGCTTCTATCGAAAGGCCTTGAGTAGGTTCAATATTCTCCAGCTCATGCTGTAAGGAATAAAGTTTGACATTTATATCTATATTCTGAAGAAAATCTAATTTTACCAGATATAGTTCCCAGATTTCTTAAATTTTATTGGAAGTCGGGCTTTCAGAAAACTAGTACAACAGAGTGATTTATGTAGCATTTTTTAAAAGGGAGCAATGGAATCATGTGGGGAAAATACTGCCAATCATTCTTCACTAGCTCACTCATCCCCAAGGGGGGGGGGGGGCCTGTTTAGTTATCTCATTCCTGGAACAGATTGTGAAGTCCTTCACATAATTATAAAAAATCCTGATCCTGCTGATTAACAGCACGTATGAAACCTAGGAACCTGCATATTCAAGTTTCAATCAATAAGGATGTATAACACACGTTTCACACCAATTTTATAGAGTAGGGGAAGTCCTTACTGTAGCCGATGTAGCAGCTGAAAGCAATGGCAGTATACCCCCACAAGCCATGACCATATTGTCCATCACTTGAGAGATGAGATGAATTGTGTTGTGTACAAAGATGACATTATCACTGCTATTCACGAAGTCCATAACTGTCTTTGTTGAATGGCTGTCCAAAGACAAACGATGTTTACTGATAAAGCTAAAGAAAGGAAATCACAATTTGCCTGCTTGAAGGGAGGAAGGACATGAAGGTGCTTTGCTTCATCTTGTGAACCAAGGGAAGATAACTAGTGCAAGGGATATTTCAGGGCATAAACCTCTTGCTCAGAAGTGGGTCATTTCATAACAGCAGTTATTATCCATGGCTTCTTTCAGAGCCAAAACATACACTCACTTTATACTGGGTATAAAAAGCAAAACCATATTCTACTCAAGAGGAATAAAACTGAAAAGTCACATGGCAAAACCTAGAAGGTGAACAGTGCTGAATGTGTTACTCTAATAAAAAATGAATTTTCAAGATCAGTGTTGTAGAGCAGCAAGTAAAGCCATACACAGCCTGCAGTGCAGGCATCCCATACAGGTGACAATTCAAACCCTGGCTATTCCACTTCTGATCCAGCTCCCATCTGAGGCATGTGGAAAGCAGCAGAGGATGCTCCAAGTGCTTGTGTCTCTGCCACTTGTCTGAGAGACCCACAGGAATCTCCTGACTCCTAGTTTTGCTCTGCTCCAGTCTAGGTTGCTTCAGGCATTTGGGGACTAAACCAGTGGCTGGAAGACCTCTTTCTCAGTCCCTCCCCTTCACCTTTCAAACAGAGGATGGCAAAATATATAGGCCCCTGCACTCACATGGGAGAACAGAAAAAAGAATCTGGTTCCCAGCCTCATACTGGCCTATCTCTGATCACTGCAGTCATTTGGGGAGTGAACTAATGGATGGAACACCTCACTCTGTCTCTCTCTCTCTCTCTTTTTATTCTTTCAAGTAAAATAAATAAATCTTTAAAAACATAAATAAGTAGAGCAGCGGACAGAAAATCCCAGAGCCTATGGAACTGTATCATAAAAATAATAATAAATAAATAAGTAAAAGACACTCTTATAAAAACTGAATTTTTTACCAACATTTTCTTAGATAATGTCATAAAATGGTTCTAAATAGAGTAAAAGTTGTATAGGAACAAAAACACATTAGGTACTGTTAAAATCACAGGTCATACAAGGAAGAATAATCTGAAATATACAGATATTTTATTCTAAGGCACAAATGGATTTATAGAAAATATTATACTTGAATCTGAATCAGCACATCTAAGAATAAACTCCATTTAATAGACAGACCTACCTTCTGGTAAGTTCTATGGTTTAACACATGCTACAGAAAATCTTAACAAATTTTTTTTTTAGCAAAAAGCTCTGGTTTTCATTTTTGCAATCCAGACAGGGATTCCATTCTTTAAAAAAATATATATTTATTTATTTTTATTTGAAAGGAGGATATACAGAGAGAAGGAGAAACAGAGAGGAAGATCCTCCATTCGATGGTTCACTCCCCAAGTGAGCACAACGGCTGGAGCTGAGCCAATCCAAACCCAGGAGCCAGAACTCCTCCAGGTATCCCACATGGGTGCAGGGTCCCAAGGCCTTGGGCTGGGCTCGACTGCTTTCCCAGGCCACAAGCAGGGAGCTGGATGGGAAGCAGAGCTGCTGGGACTAGAACTGGCAACCATATGGGATCCTGGCGCGTGCAAGGTGAGGACTTTAACCACTAAACCATCACGGCAGGCCCAGGGATTCCATTCTTAGCAAGGAGAATAAAAGTCACTTTGGTAAATCCACCCATATAATAACATATCTCTTATTTTTCAAACCAAGCACCTGGATTTAACTGCACAACTCTGACATATGCCTCTCTAAAAACAAAGACTATGCTATATATTTAGTTTCTGTAATAAATACAATAAACACACAGACAAACCTTCTCCACATCTGAATATCTGTTTCTATGGAAAATAAAAGATCAGTGAGCAAACGCTGATGCATCGCAGACCACTTAAACTCAGGAACACGAAACATGGTGGATCTGGAATCCCTCCTTTGTCCATTGACTGCGTCTGGGACTGGTGCTTGGGCAGGCTGCTCCTGTTGCCTTGGCATCTAGTACAGAAATTTTTAAAGTAATAAAATAAAGAAAACCTAAAAGGTAGGCACTAGAAAAATAAAAAATGTAACAGCTATGTAATTCACTGCATAGATAGCCTACACGCTAGGACACTCAAGAATCCAATCAGTGATTGTCAAATGATTCATGAGCAATAACAGCATTGTGCCACACTGAAAGCAAAGGCATCAAAAATGCTCAACTGTAAGCATTCAACAGTATGCACTTGGAGCTACGTGAGCATTACCACTCACGTATCATTGTTTGAAAGGAATCAAGTAGGTCTTAGTTTTCAATTTCATATAAATGCAGTAGTATTTATAATCCAGTGATTATTTAAATCAAAAACTGGTTAAAACCAAGAACAAACAAAAATAATGACAGAACTATGAAGAACAGATAAAGCAAGAAGAAAAAAGAAGGTAGAACAGTGAATGAGTTAAGTGAGAGATGAAATCAACAATTAGAACACGAGTCGGTATATATCAACTAAAAAGATGTCCATCTGGAAACGTCACATTTTTAATTCTGATGATGCCTTGGTAAAAGCCATAACCTTAATAAAGAACTGTCACTTAAGGAACCCACACTAACGGCTACAGGCTGTGTTGACAATTTGAAACTACTTCCACATGCACTCTACTTACATAATTTCAAAGAGAACACGAACCAAACACAACACAAAATAAAAATGCAAGTATGCACACTTGCCCTATTTGAACTCAGATCCAACACACTTGAAGAATACAGTATCTTTATTCACCTCAAGCGCGTGTCGATTTGGTTGAGGGGCTTCCATGCTTGTACTAGCCTTCAACTCCAGTTTCTCCGTGTCGGAAGCAACACTGGAAACATCCAACTTGGCAATCCTCGGCTCAGCAGCCGCAGAAGCTTCAGAACTATTACCAGGACCATTGCTAACTAACTGAGCTTCTCCAGCGGAGGCGGCCGTCTTCTGCCCTTCCTCCAGGACCTGCTCTGTGCCAGACAGCACAGTTGTAGGGGACACAGTCGTTTCTCTAGGAGGAGCTGGGGACCCTGCTGCTGTCACAGCCAGGGATGCAGGATCTGCCGAATTCGGGGCTTCACTACTAGCTGGTGCATTGACCCCAGGTTCTCCCTCTTGCAGGATTATTTCAGATGCAGCTGGAGACACACTGTTATCTTGGCCCTCCGTGGGCAGACTGGCGTCCTCAGCAGGACTACTTTCCACCTTCAGTTCCACGTAATCGTCATCTTCCTCCTCTCCTAGAGATTTATCCAGTAATTCTGGCATTTCGGAAGCATCCCCTTCGGAGGGAGAGCTCACTGAGGCTGTGCCTTCACTGGTGGTGATGGCATCCTTGGCAGCTATTTCCAGAGCCTCGGAGGAAACAGCCTCGGGTTCTCTGAAGTCAGCAGATGCCTCTAGCTCACCTGCACCCATTGGCTCATTTGTCAGTGTTTCTTCCAAAGTGACTTCTTCATCCACTAACAGCTGATCTTCTTGCTCAGCTTGTCTTTCTTCAAGAGAGGTGCCCTGAGGCTGCAGGTCAATATTAGATGAGGTTTCTATGGAACTAATGTTCTCAATACTTGAGTTCTCATCACTGTTTTGGATCAAATGAGGAGAACCAGGGGAATCCTTCATGTGTGATTGCTGGGACCCCACTGAGACAGAGATGGCAGGAACTGGACTTGAAGAACACAGCCCCATTTCTCCATCAACCTTTCCATGCTGTTCCCTCAGTATACTGGCAAGGTTCTCTTTGTGTATTTCAAAAGTGACCTGGATGAAAAAGAAAAGTGCCATTAGTCATATGTGCATTAAAATTATCACACCATAACAAATATAAACCTTATCATCAATTTTTCAAATACGCACTTTACATAATACGAAAACTATTAATTTCCCTATAATGTGCCTATTTTGTAGGACAACAAATAAAACGTCAAGTCACAAAAAATGTAATTGTTCAAGCTGATACATGGCACAGTATGAAACTGAAACAAGAACATATTTAGTCTGTTCTTGAAGACATGCAGAAAAAAAAATTTACTCCTCTCTGTAACTTGTACTAGGATCTACATACACCTTATGGACTGAATCATATAGTTTTGACTGCAATGAAAGTTTCTATTCCCATGATTTGTCCTCAGCAGAAATTTTTTTAATAAACAATTATGTTGCTATAACAGATCTTCATTTATCTACTAAGATATAAAACCTATTTGCTTTTTAGCTAAATGCTTTTAACAATGAAAGAAAAAACAAACCTTCCCTGAAGATCCACCATTATTCTGAAAGTTGAATTTGTCAAAAATTGTCTGAAAGTTCCTGTTCATTCATCCATGCAGCCATTCTTCCCAACACATAAATAATTGCTATGTATAAGGAAATTAAAACATTTATGGGATACTGGAATTAAAAGATGCTTACTTTGAAGCAAAAAAAAAAAAAAAAATGAAATTCATGCAGATTATTTATACTATGCTTTATTCCATTAACTTTTTGAAAACAGCTCATATACAGATTTCAGATTTTTTTTGCACTAAAACACTTATCTTTTAATTCCATTACTCCATAAATTTATCGAAATGTCCTCACATTCAGCATTTTGGATTTTCCATATTATGCTGCCTTTACTCAAAAATAGAGAAAAAGGTTAAAAAAAATCACTGTTCTGTGATTGCTGAGATTTTAGAATTTATCATTACTTCTCTCACCTCTTCAACAATTATTATCTTAAAGTCACTGCTACGGGATTCATATTAGTGTTTCAATAGGAACCCTAAATTCTCAAAACCCACAAACAGGAAACAGCAGAAAAAGTACAACACATGCAGAAAATAATAGTTTATCAATGTTAAAAGTGTTTCTTCCTGTAATGCATATTATCATTATACATAGTAAACTGTGTAGTAAATCTTTACTGAGCATCGAAAATACTGGTATGAGATAACAGGGTTTAAAAAAAGCTAATTTTTTTGTGTGTAGAAAAAAATCCACTAGCCTTTTTGAGTCATATAAATATATGAGTCAGAAAATGTAAAAAATGCATGCTGCAAAAATTCCCTTACATTTTTCCTTTCTAAGCTCAACATGGTTGACCTCTACCTTCGGAGTAGAGCAAACCAGGGAATATTTCTGAGGTGGCGCTAAGGAAGGCAGGGCAGGAACCGGACCAGCACATGTTCAAGAGAAGACAAGATTCACAAGAATAGGGGCCTAGCTCATGAGGGTAGCCTGACCCCAAATTAAAAAAAAAAAAAAAAAAAGCCATAAAGGTTGTGGTTTACTAGCAGTCTGCCCTTGTATCTGTCTCGGAAGATGAACTGCTGCTCCAATGCAGATGCACCGGCCTCTGCTAAGAACACAGCCATCGTCCCAGGCGCCCGTGCGGCCCTCCAGTTCTTGTCTATGCTAGCTCCCCTAGTTCTTGCACCCCATATCTTTGGGTTTGCTTCACTCTCTCCTTCTAGGCAGTACAACCTCCAGGGAATTTGACCTTTTGTGATCTCAAATTCCTGAGAACATATTCACATACTTATTGATGAACAACAGATCAAGTATAAAATCCTACTTCGAAATTTCATACCTGCAAAATTTGAAAGGCTTTTTGAAGCCGGCTGGTTTTTTTTTTTTTAAGATTTATTTTTATTATTTTCTTTATTGGAAAGGTGGATATACAGAGAGGAGAGACAGAGAGGAAGATCTTCCGTCCAATGATTCACTCCCCAAGTGAGCGCAACGGCCCATGCTATGCCGAGCCCAAACCAGGAGCCTCTTCCGGGTCTCCCACGCAGGTGCAGGGTCCCAAGGTCTTGGGCCGTCCTCGACTGCCTTCCCAGGCCACAGGCAGGGAGCTGGAAGGGAAGCGGGGCTGCCGGGATAGAACCGGCGCCCATATGTGATCCCGGGCGTGCAAAGCGAGGACCTTAACCACTGCGCCACCGTGCCGGGCCCAGCCGGCTGGTTTTTAAATTTCCCTTTAATTTACCCCAATTGTTTAAAACCTAAATGGTGACTTTTTTTTTTTTATCACGGTTGTTATCTTTTTTGATGCTGTTTTCCTCAACATGTTTGTAGCTTTAAAACTGATAATTCCCAATTAATTACCAGATATTGTTCTAAATTACACAGCTAAAGACTAGTCATTAATCTTCACATTCATTTGATAGCTAATCTATATCTGTTTGTAATGTTTGGAAAGCAGTTCTATAAACTACAAGTTAAAGATACACGCTAATAACGACAACACTTCTTTTGCTACTACCGTCAATATAATCTGCAGTCCAATTTACTAATTAAGAGATTAAAAAAAAGAAACTTGAGATTATCTCTTTGGTTCCCACATTTAAAATTCCTTAACCTATCAAAAATTAGACTTTTAAAAAATGTTGGGCAATATTTACCAACGGACTTTTTCAGGGGAAAATTCATCCTTTTCATTGTATATTGCATGTAGAAATATCAGATTGAAATTACATGCTAACTTCTAATTCTTGGATTACCAACCTTATCCACAGTTGATAAATAAGACACATCGGAACCTTTCCATATAAAGCACCAGACAGTGTGGCCAAAGCAATTCCCACCGTGCACCCAAGGCCCGTTACAAATGCTCTGGCAAGATATCTCACACTAACAATGGTCATATGCTAACAGGTGTAATGTTAAATCTACATGGTCTCGTTCACACACATTACCCTGCCAGAGCATAAAAACTTTTAAGTCACCCTCCAATCTCTGGTCCTTAGCTACAAAAATCAGGCAATTAGTTGCCTATTGATTTTCTATGGTTCCTTCCAGAATATGTTTCTATTTTTTTAAATATACATGAAAATAAAAATTCTTATTTTACTACTTAACAGTGCTTATCTAAACACACTGTCTCTCACTTTCTTTTTCACTTAATGTATGCTGTTGGGCCCAGTGTGACAACCTGGTGGCTGAATCCTCGCCTCGCAGGCACCGAGATCCTATATATAAAACCTGGTCATATCCCGGCTGCTTCACTTCCTGCCTGCTCCCTGCTGGGTGGCCTGGCAAAGCGTTAGGAGATAGACCAAATGAGCCAAGTGCGGTAGCCTAGCGGCTAAAGTCCTCGCGTTGCATGTGCTGGGATCCCATACAGAGTTGGTTCTAATCCCAATAGCCCTGCTTCCCATCCTGCTCCCTGCTTGTGGCCTGGGAAAACAGTCGAGGACAGCCCAAAGCCTTGGAACCCAGCACCCGCGTGGGAGACCCGGAAGAGGCTCTAGGCTTCTGGGTTCAGATCAGTATAGCTCCAGTCTTTGTGGCCACTTGGGACGTGAATCGGCAGATGGAAGATCTTTTTCTCTATCTCTCCTCCTTTCTGTATATCAGACTTTGCAATAAAAATAAATAAGTCTTTGATTTAAAAAAAAAAATGGCCCAAAGCCTTGGGACCTTGAACCCATGGGGCAGATCTGGAAGAGGCACTTCTTTAGAGAGTGAACCACTGGATGTACTTTCTGTCTCTCTTCTCTGTATATCTGCCTTTCCAATAAAAATAAGTAAGTCTTTTTAAATATGTGTGTGTGTGTGTACACACATATCTCCTGTCAGACTATTTCAGGATAGCCTAAATTTGCATCCCCCTTAAAATGAGCAATGCTTTACATATATATATAATATTGGTTTACCTGTTTCATTTTTCCATGATATAGTTTTGTAGGTACAGGGGTTCCTCCCTCCCCCTTTCCTATTTTCCTCTCTTACCATTTTCTCCCAACCTATCATAGTAGTACAGTCCCTTAGTAACAGATGTAAATTTAACTTTCTGCTATTTAAGTGTATCAAGACATGGTAGGTATAGGCAAAAGTTAAAAAGCTAGTACAATAGTGTAAAGGTATACTTTAAAATAATTATACTGTTCATGATCAAAGTGAGGGAAATACAGACTCATGTGGGCCACAAAATGTGATGAAGTGGATTAGAGAGGGAGACACAAAGGAGGATGAGAGAGAAGTTCCTGTCTTCCCTCCTATGGCAGTGGGTGGGGTGTGCTTTTTGATATATTTAAACATGTATGCATCTATCTGTCTGTCTATCTACCTACCTACCTACCTATCATTTATCTGAATCACAGAGCTACAGAGGATAGACAAAGGGATTTTACACCTGCTGGTTTGCTCCTCAAATGGTTTTAACAGTCAGAGCTGAGGCAGCCTGAAGCCAGGAGGCAGGAACTTCTTTCAGGTCTCCCACACAGGTGCAGGAAGCTGACCTGAGCCATGTCTGTCTGCACCCCAAGGCTGGCAGCGGCAGAGAGCTGCATTAGAAGTGGGGCAGCCAGGGCTCAAATCCATATGAGAATCCAGGATCACAGGTAGCAGCTCACCCCACTATGCCACAAAGCTGGCCCAGCCACTTTTAAATGCCCTTACTCGAGCAGGTTTCTGAATCATGTCCTGTTATGTCTTCCCACCAATTTCAGAGTACCTGACAGATAAAGGATGCTGTATATATTTTGTTTCTAAAAAGCATTTCTGGATTTGTCATTTGCCTTTTGATTCTGCTGATGCTACTATGCTTCATTTCTGGTGATATTTTCTGCCTGAACGGAGTTAAAACGGTCCAGAAAATAAATAAATAAAAGGTTCAAACTCTACTCTAAAATATAGTGTCAGGGGAACTGTGTCGTAGTGGAGCATCTCACATCAGAGTCTAGACTGAAGTACCAGCTGTCCTGCTTGTTATCCAGCTCCTTGTCCATAAGTACCTAAGAAAGCAGCAGATTGGGGCCTGGAGCAATGGCTCA